AACGAGCGAAACTCCATCTCAAAAAAAATAAATAAATAAAATAAAATAAAAAAGGTGAGACCATGCAGTATTTATTTTTCTGTGTCTGGTTTATTTCACTTAGTTTAATGTCCAACAAGTTCATTTATGTTGTATAAATGTTCATTTATGTTGTTGCAAAATTTACCTATTTTTTTAAGACTGAGCTGTATGCCATGGGTGTGTGTGTGTGTGTGTGTGTGTGTGTGTGTGTGTGGTGTACCTCCTGAGTAGCTGGAATTACAGATATGCACCACCATGCTCGGCTAATTTTGTATTTTTGGTATAGATGAGCTTTTAGTCATGTTGTTCAGGCTGGTCTCAAACTCCTAAACTTAGGTGCTCTGCCTACCTCGACCTCCAAAATTGCTAGGATTACAGTTGTGAGCCACTGTGCCCAGCCGAGAGTGCAATTCTTTTCAATTACTTGTTTTAATGATACAATGAAATATTTCAAAGTGACTATATTATTCATAGCATTTGGACAAAAGACTATCTTCAAAATTTGCCATAAAACATACCTGTCCTATTAAGAAAACAATATTTCACATTATATTTAAAATGTTATAAAACATAGATTCTACCTGTCTTATAAATAATAACAACATTTCACACTTGCCTGGTAGCAAAGGATAGCATTTATGTGCTCTGTTGCCCAGGCTTCAGTGCAGTGGCACAATCTCGACTCACTATAACCTTCACCTGGTACGATCTCGACTCACTACAACCTTCACCTCCCGGGTTCAAGCAATTCTCTGCCTTAGCCTCCTGAGTAGCTGAGGTTACAGGCACGCGCCACCATGCCCGGCTAATTTTTGTATTTTTAGTAGAGACAGGGTTTCATCATGTTGGCCAGGCTGGTCTCGAACTGCTGACCTCAAGTGATTTGCCCACCTTGGCCTCCCAAAGTGCTGGGATTACGGGTGTGAGCTACTGCGCCTGGTCCAACATCTACTTTTCATTCCAGCCACATGGGCACTGCTTCGGCCCAAACACCTGTTATAGTCTGGCTACAAATTTGCCCCAAACCTTTTTCTCTTTCTGTATGCATGCCATTCAACCCACATTCATCACATAAATGGAAGCATTCTGCCTCCCAGAAGCCTCCTTCACAAGCCCTATACTGTGAAATCCTAGATTAATGGATATACTATAGTATACAGGACATATTTACAGGCATATACAGTTTTACTACATCTACTACAGTATACAGGATATAATTACAGGTATATACAGCTACGTCTACAAGTGTTTTTTGTAGCATTATTCACAATAGGCAAAATAGAAAAATAATGCTAATAAATAATGAAAATATACATATATATACACATACATGCACAATGAAATATTCTTTATTTTTGAGCCTCAAACAAAAGAAATCCTGTCATTTGGAACAACATGAATGAACCTGAAGGATATTATGCTAAGTGAAAAAGACAAATATGTATTCTCTCTTATCTAAAATAGTAGACTAGCTCACAGAAAGTAGCATGGTGGTGCCCAGGGATTGAATTTGGGCAAATGAGAACTTGGTCAAAGGGTACAAAGTTTGGTCATGCAAAAGTGAGTAAGTTCTAGAGGGCTAATGTACAGCACGGTGACTATAGTGAGCAATACTGTCTTGTATACTTGACATTTGTTAGAAGGATGAATCTTTAAAGTGTTCTGACCACACCAAAACCAAAAAAAAAGTATGTGAGGTGATGGAAATGTTAACTAGCTTGATGGTGGTCATGATTTCATAACACATACATATATAAAATCATCAATGTGTACACCTTTCATATACACAATTTCTATTTGTCAATTGTGCTTCAATCAGGTTTAAAGAAAGCCAGATGAAACACATAGAAAAAAATCTGCCATTGTGATTCTGGATCGGTCTATTTCCATTTTTTCATTTTTTATGTATGCTGAAGATTTGATACTAGCTGTATGTGAGGTTAGACTTGCAATATTTTCCTGGTGTGTTGATTCCAGTAATCATTATTTATCTCTACTAGTGCTTATTGTCTCAAACGCTGCATTATTTCACATTAATTATGCTGGCTTTTTAAAACTTTTTTTATTCTTTGGTTAGTTATTGCCTGGTACATCTTTCATTCTTTTTCTTTTTCTCCTTGGGCCATAAAATCGTATTGGCAGGTCAGGGGAAGAACCCTACCTTCTCGTCCCCCTACCCAGGAGATGCCCTCTGAAGGAGAGCAGAAATCCCGGAGCCAGGCCTCAGAGGGCCTTAGAGGTGGACAGGTTGTTGTAGTGATCCTCCTGGCTATTGAGCAGGCTGCGGTAGGCGGCGACCTCCTGCTCCAGCCGCGACTTGATGACCATGAGCCACTGGTACTCTGATTCTGCCGCTCACTGTCAGCTCGCACATCACCCAGCTGGGCTTCAATACCGCCGACCAGCGCCTGGATCTGCGCCAGCGGGGCCCCAAAGCGCGCCACGGTTTCCGCCAGTGTGCCTTCCAAGGCAGCTTTCATGCTCAGCTGCGACTGCGGCTCACTCTCAAGACCCTGGAGGGTGCCCGCAGGTCAGTGACATTGGACCTGCTTATCTGAAGGGGCTCCGTGTGGCGAGCACGTTCTCGGTTCAGCTCCTCAGTCCTGCTGGTAAACTAGACGTCGCGTTCTTCCGGTTCCGTCCTTCCGGTTCCGGCCGCCATGACCTCACGTTGGCTTCGCACGTCACTGAGGATCTTGGCGAGAAATCGGTTCCAGGAGCCGCATCCATCTCCACACAGAGCTGGCCTCCCGCTTGGCCCGCAGGCACTGACTTCCTCCTCGTGGTTCTTCTTCAGTCTGGCTAGCTCTTCCTTCAGGCCTTGGATCTGCATCTGCAGGCGGTCCTGCCTGGGTCAGCTCGCCCAGCAGCGGAGCACGTTGATGGCTGCCGAGGCGCATGCGCAGAGCCGCTGTGTCGCAGCCTTGGTCCGGAACGCTCTGCAGCCAGACGGGCGCTGTGGGTCTGCAGGACGGTCCTGGATCTTCAGTAGTGGCCCCAAGAAGCTTGTCCCGCAGGCCCTCATGGCCTTGTAGTAGCGGCAGTCGCGGATTTTCACCTGCAGCTCGCCGTCGGCTTCCTCCAGGGCGCGCACCTCGTCCAGGTAGGAGGCCAGGTGGTGGTTGAGGTTCTGCGTGGGAAGCTTCTCGTTGCCCGCCGGCAGCCCGTCGGACCGGCCAGGACGCCGCCGTCTGCCCAGGCGGAGGACGAGGACACGCCGCGGCTGCTGGAGCCCAAGCGCATGCTGGGTGTGCTAAAGGCGCCCTCCACCCCAAAACGCGGGGAGCCGCCGCCCAGGCTCCCGAAGGACAATGTGCTGGACAACTGGCGACAGCCGTAGGAAGTCAAGGTGAGGCGGAGGACAGACTGGACCCTGGTCCCAGGAGCTGCGATTGGCGGAAGGGGCCATGTCTTCCATTCTTTCATAGCCTCAGTCTCTCTGCATCCTTATGCTTAAAGGTATCTGCAATCATAATAAGGTATAATCAGATCATCTCAATTATTTTACTAGGAGCACTTAGTTCAATTACATATTTTATTGATAGATAATATTTGTATATATTTATGGGGCACATGTGATATTTTGACACATGCATGCAATGTGTAATAATGACTGATATAATTGGGGTTATATGTTAGCTATAACTTCTAACCATATTCTTTTTGGATCTTAAGTTTCATGTGTCATATTTATTCTTCCATTGCGTCTTTTAGAAATATCAAATCTTTATTTTTTCATTTTATAAACTTGTTTTGGTGTTTAAACATTACAGTATGTACTCTTGCTATACTAAAGTTTAACACAAATTACTTCTCTACTTCATCAATATTGATATAACTTTATCTTCAACATGATTTTTATACATTTACGTTTTGGATAAATTTAAACTGTATATTACATTAAAATTATTGCTCAGTCAATATTGATTATGACTCATTTGCATATTACCCTTTGGGGTTAATGTTTATCATTCTTGCTTATATTTCTGTGTTTCCTTTTGAGATAATTTATCTATGGCTGAAGAATTTCGTCCACTTTTGTTTGTTGGAAAAATTATTTTACTATCATTTTTTATAATTTTTGTTACACTCAATCTACATCTAGTTCACCCCTATTACTGAGACACGGTCCTACTGGGCTCTTCATTGAGAAGCAGGTAGATATCTCTATCCTCAGCCTTGAAAGCATTTCTCCCAATATTAATGTGGCTCATTAACTTGTGTCCTCCATATCTTTGTTCAACTATAACCAGAGTGAAGATTAGCTTAACTCCCTATATAAAATGTGACCTATTCAGCTCAAGATTTTCCAACACTTTTCTTCTGATATACTGCATGTCTTCTTCTCAATTACCAAATTTATTTTCTGTTTACACCCTTTAAGTGCTAAAAAGATGAAGATTTTTATTTGTTTTGCTCATTGATGCATCCTCAGTTTGTAGAACAGGGCCAGGCACATTATAGATGCTCAGTAGTCGTCTGTTGAATGAATGGATGAATTGAGGCCTAAAGGAAGATAATATAGTCATGGAAAGTTATCTTTGCATCCTCATACTTAGAGGTGAAAAAGAGCATTCTGAAGAGGGGAAAGCCCTGTGAAACCTTGGGTATGGAAAGAGCTATAGTGTTTCCAGGGTTGGAGTATGGCCCTCCCAGATGGAGAGGCAATACCATGTAGAAAAGGCCACAGACTCCACAAGAGGTAGCACATGTAGTAGTCAGGGGCGGGGACAGTAACCTGCCTGCCTGGGCTTAAATCCCTGTTGAGCATTTTATAAGCTGCATACCCTTGGTCAAGTTACATCAGCTTACCCATGGAATCTCAGTTACATCAACTGTAGAGTAAGGCTAATAATAGGCTGTGAGAATAGAAGTATTCCACACATGTAACACACTAAAAATGGTGCCAAATCATAATAATCACACAAGTTGTTATAATTATTACATTATTTGTTAAATAAATTAATAAAATACAACCATGCGTGTACATTAAACTGTTATTTGAAATTGTATTCGTAGCATGTGTCACCATTGGCTTGAACAGGGAGAAGTGTGAGAAACTTCCGTACTTCTCTGGTTAAGAAAGACTATGAATAAACCAATTCTACTCCAGACAAACGTTCCGGATAACCCATGTCTCTGATCTAATTTTGGGAGGTTTGACTTATATGATCGCAGAAAATAAGAACTTGATTGAGAACATATTCTAGAAATTCTGTTGAAAGAAAAATCTCAACTGTACATTTAGAATCTCTGAGGTTTTGAAAGTGTTTAGCCCCAAATGCCTATGGAGAAATGAACCACCTGCCCCTGAGGATTCCCTGCTTGGGGAAGGTCAGGGAAAGCCTTAAAAGCTGTTTTGTCACCTGTGAAATGTGGATGATTTTAACTTCACCCACAGAGGGTGAGGGTAGGATGAAGTGGTGAATGAAAACTGTTTAGAACAGAGTGGATGCTGAGGAACAATCTGAATATGTTGTTATTTCATACTCATCACTGAGCCCATGCTGATATCAAAACAAATTTTCTATGTGGTCTAAGGTGCTCAAGCATCATAAACACAGATTTATTTTCAGAGTTCTCAACTGTAATCCTTTTTTAGGACTTTTGGCCCAAGGTACTGGACTAGAGATCAATGCTATGAGGGAACATCATCTCAATAGGAGAGAAGAACATTGGGCTGAAACCCACTGAATAGCAACTAAGGGAGTCAGACATCACCATAGTATGCCGATTGTTTGTTAGAAGAACGCCTAACATGAGGAGAGAGACACTAAGGAAGAGAGGACCAACTTAAGTTCTGTCACACTTTAATATGAAGCTTTCTGCAATCTCAGCACTCTTTTGAAAGCCCCTGTGACATCCTTATTCCTGAAACTGTAAATGATAGGATTCAAGACAGGTGTAAGGATAGTGTAGAAAAAGGACACCATCATATCTTTCTCAGGGGTGTGGTAGGAGCTGGGGAGCATGTAGCTGTAAATAGCAGCTCCATAGAAGAGGGTGACCACTGTAATGTGGGAGGAGCAGGTGGTGAAGGCCTTTTTCCTACCCTCAGCTGAGTTCATCTTATGGATGGTGAGGATGATAAAGTAGTAAGACACTGAAATGACTGTCACAGGGATCAGGAGCATGATGACACAGCACAAGTACATGAAAATCTTATAAAGTGAGGTGTCTGAGCAAGAGAGCTTCAAAACAGCAGGGACCTCACAGAAGTAGTGCTGAATCTCATGGGATCTGCAGAAGGGGAAGGTCATGGTGATGGGAGTGAGCATGAAGCCATCCACTGAGCCCACGACCCAGCAACCTGAGGCCAGGAAGAGACATATCCTATGGTTCATGAGCACAGAGTAACGGAGAGGTTGGCAGATAGCCACATAGCGGTCATAGGCCATGGCGGCTAGAAGGCAGTACTCTGCTCCTCCCAGCTGCAGGTAGAAGTACATCTGGGTCGCACACCCAAGGACTGAGATGGTCTTCTCTTTGGCCAGCTGGTTCACCAGCATTTTGGGGACAGTGACAGAAATATATGTCAAGTCTATGAGTGAGAGCTGGTTTATAAAGAAGTACATGGGAGTATGCAAAGAGGAGTCAATGTGGATCAGAAGTACCAATATGATATTCCAAGACACCGCCATCAAAAATATACTGAAGATAAGCAAGCAGAGGAGGCCAGGGTGTGAGATCTGGCTAAAGATTCCCAACAGGAAAAAGTCATCACCTAGGGTCCGGTTGGCCAGCCACATGTTGGAATGATGGGTTGAGGTGGCTTTACCTGGAGGACAAAAGTAAATTTTATGTTATTTATAATCATGTTGCACCACACATAAGTATGTTTGCTTTAATTTAATTTTTAAAAATCAGTGAAACAATTAGTTTATTTCTAACATCAATTCTGAATTTGCACTAAAAAGAGATAGCACATTAGATTGTGAATCTGATTCACCATCTAGAATGATAATATTTATATTCTCAAGATGACTGTACAACTGAAAGTAAAATATTTCTTACAGGAGATTATATAGTCACTAATATTTTTTGTTATTTTTACTTGTATATGTTTACATTTGTTATATTTTCGAGTGTTAGTATCTTATAGTTGCATGTACCTATATTGCTCAAATCCCATTCCCATGGGATTTTAAAGAGCTAATAATGAATATTATAAGTATTTCTACATATTTGACCTTTAAGAGTCATTTCTGCAAAAAAGGATTAGTAATACTTGTGTTTTTTAATATTAAATATCTTGTTACAAATCTGTGCACATACAATATTTTAATATTTAAAAGTAATATCTTAAGCAACCAGCAATTGTACACATTTTAAACATAAAATCTCAAAACCTTTATACAACAGTTACCAATTTAGTGAAATATCTTTAGATGTATTAGTAAAGACACTAGTACAATTTGTTAATTTTTTCTAAAATGATTTAAATGCTTTTACCTACATGTGATTTTAAAATATATTTTTATACTTACACTTAACCTATTACAAAGGTATTAATTTTGTGAGTTATTTATTCATATTTTCATGATTTCCATAATGATGCTTTAATTTGTTGGGGTTCTGCCAATCTTTCAAGATATCAAAAAAATTATGGCTATCTCAGATCAATGATGCTTCAGGAATCAGCATTATCATCCAATCAGTAGTTTATTCTGAGGTGATTGGGCTGAACCTCACTTAGAATTTCTTGGTCTGAACTGTCTTTATAAAGTGAAAGTAAAATGTAATTCGATTTCACAAGCTCACATGTTTTCTTACAACCTCTCCATTTTGCCCATAAAATCTTGGTGAAAGGAAGTTTGCCTCAATTTATACTTTTCTTATTGTGACATCCAACATATTTATTATATGTGGGTTAGTCATCCTATGGTTTCTTTTCCTAATGGTTAAAGCATGGGGTCTCTGACATTGGAATTTTCTTTTCTTTCCTCCTCCCCCTCCCCCTTCCCCTCCCCCTCCCCCTTCCCCTCCCCCTCCCCCTCCACCCCCCTTTTTAAGACCACTCAAGTGCACTAGTGAGAGGGGAGGAAAAAGTAGAACAAAGAATTCTGTGAACAGTCAGTTAAGATAACTCATTATCTTCAGATCATCCAAGTTCCAATTTCTTCTCAGAGCATCTAGTCAATTAATCACTTTGTAATAGACTGTGGAATTCTTCTTCTAGCTGGTTATTTTTGGAGATCAGTGGTGCTGGTCAGCACTTTCCTGTTCATAGCATTTTCTCTCCCTTGTTCAGAATTCTATGATTTACATATGGATCCCCATTATTATTATTTTCTTCTTAGATAAGGAAAATGCATATCTATTCTTTATAAAATAAAGTTTTAGGTATCATTAACGTTCAGTATCTTAATAACAGTTGTCAAATGTTTAAATAAAACACATTATATTCATCCTTTTTATATTGCAATTTCTCTTATGTATCCTTTTTTACATTACAACTTACACTTTGTATTATTCTTTGTTATCATTAACTTAAAATTTGTAAATAAGAATTATTGTAATTGGTCATTATTATTTTCTTTTTTATTTCAAGCATTTTTCCCTGGTCAAGACTAATCTCCTTGGATTCTTTTTCTTTTGTTTTAGAGCTACTTAACACAAGGGGACACAGAAAGCATAAGAATAAAGTAATGTCAGTTTTTAACAAATTGTTTTATTATGTTAAAAGGTTTAAAACCAAAGGGGACTGAAGGTATTTTCAGTAAATAAACATCATATCATTGGCCATAACAAATGGTAGATTGTTTAAGTCAATTGTAATTAATAAATTAATTACTAGACTAATTAATTAAGAAACTATTTTTTCCCAGAGCAAAAAGTAATTTTCTAAGTATAAAGGCAAAATAAAAAATTCCCAATAAACTTCAAAAAATTGGTAAAATCATTCAGTAGATTGTAAAAGACAACGAAGCAAGATTATTTATAAAGATTTGAAAAAAAAATTATCGTCCAAGAATGAAGCATATACATATCCAGTAAAGTAAAGCAGGATAGAGGCCCTTCCTCTCAGATATCCAAGAACTTAGAAAGTGGAGAATCCAGTTAAACCATTTTGGAAATTCAGTATCAGCCCATTTCCAGCCAATGTCAGTCAAGGTCTATCCCATAAAATAAGACGAAACAAGTGCAAAATGTGAGAGTCATGGTATACGTGGGCTGAAGTAAAAACCTGAGACAAATAAAACACACGTGCCAAATCGAATGGTAATCATCCATCTGTATCACATAATGTCTCAAAGAAAAATCAAGAAATAGACATAAAAGGGGTAAGGAAAAGTAGACTCAATGGAATTTCCACAGTTTATAGGAGATAAGCATTTTCACTTATTGCCTGGCTTCCCAGTGAAATAAGTAAAGTATATTTAATGTCAACTCCCCAAAATGGAGTCCATTTAGGGACAGTGTCCAGGATAAGACTAGTGCCTGTTAGAGCTGATTAACTCTGGGTAAGAAGGCCCTGTTCCAAATTGAACAGGTGGTTTACAATGAGTACAATTATGCATATCAGTAGTGAGATGGACATCAGCTAGTCAGGGTGAGCATATCTCGGGTTTATCCAGGAGAACAAAAGTGAGAGTGGATATAGCATTTCTTGGCCATGTAGTTCAATTTACTGTTCTTCCATAGACACTGAAACAAGGAGACCCAGTTTATAAAGCTGCAGAACAATAAATCTCCTTAACCAAATCAGTTAATTTGTATACTTCTAGGAAACCAGTGACACAAGCACAGACGGCCATGTAAGACAGAAGAACAGCAATTAGGTTCATTCAAAAGTAATACAATATTTTCAAGCTGAATTGCTATTTCTAAAACTAAAGCTTCATGATGAAGCAAGCAAACTAGTTGTCACAGGCTTCAGAGTAGTAACATCTGCACTATAGGAAGGAGAGGACCCCTCCTTCTCCTTCTTGAGTGGGCATTGATACTCCAAAGTGATGTGCCATGCTTCACCAAGGAAGTAGAATTATGTTGCTCACCATGAGGCTTAAACCTCTATCAACCATCTCTCACTCATCCACATGTTCCTCATTTATGATCTGGGAGATCAGTTTTTAAAAACAAAGGGAAAAAAGGAAGAAGGAAAGGAGGTTAGAAGGAAGAGAGGTAAAGAAAACTGTAATATTCAACATTGCTTCGATTTTTAGAGAAAAAAGTTACGTCAGATTTGCCTGGAAAAAATACCACCAGGAAGAAAAGCCTCAAGATCTGAAATCAATTATTTTTGGATTTAGCTCTCTTATTTTCTGAGGAATGTTGCAAGTCACCTAAAATTTTTGAGTTTTTTTTTTCCGTATATACCTGTAGGGATATATACTATTTATTTCTACAGTCTAATTAATAGGATTGCCAAGAGGTTCAGATATGATAATATGCATAGCAAGTACTTTCTAAATTATAGATTTGTGTGTAATATTAGGTTAAATACGTTTATAATAAATGCTAGTTATTTTATGTGATCTATAATGATTAATATATAATACATAATTATATATTAGTATATTTTACTAATTAATGTTATATTTGCTGTATTAAATATTATGTATTAACTATGTTATATTGGTAATTAATTATATCAATTGATAAATTCTATAATGCATATATTTATGGATTATTAATTATTAAATATCAATAATAAATTTTTAATTTAATGTTTGATAAATATTTCTTTCTTAGTGAACCAAAGGAAGAAATATCATACCCTGAGGAATTTTATTTCCAATAAGATGCTTCCAGTATAGCTGTTTCGATGAACGAAAGCCTTGTCATTTTTATTTCGATCAATCTGCTCTACGATCAGTGAAACACCAGCCTGCTTTTCTGCGAAAGAATTGCAGATGATGCAGCACTGATGAAGTTGATATGAACTTGAGGGCTCTCCCTGAAGAGCAGCTGATGCTACTGAGTCTAACTTGTGGTCTTGTGACCACAAACTTGAAGAATGATGCTCTCCACAGGGACCCCTCTCAGGGCTGTGGTGGCCTCCCTGAGAGCAGTGTTGGAGGAGTCTCTCTTTAGCCTTTGTTGAATTATAGGACCTGATTCTGTAGACTTTTTTAACTGCCTAACTCCTATAACCCTCCAAAGGACAATAAGTATCTACTAATAGCATACAGACTTCACCAGAATGTTTCCTTGAAGACCACTTCTCTCACCGGTCAAATCATTGCATCATCCTGCCATGAGGGAAAAGAGTGAAACAAACCCAAATTAGACCATTGATAACACATTTAATAGAGTATATTCTTCTATATATGATTACTGGTTTTCTTAGTAATGACTGATCACTGTAGAAAGTTTAAAAACTAAATATTATTATAAAAAGGAGAAGTAACAATACATACTCCAGAATGCCAAAGATAACTAAATAAACAGTTTGGATTTTCCTTTTTTTTAGCCATTTTCATATAGTTAATATAATTAATATGATTTTCTTCATACAATTTCATATCCATTTCATTTGTCTTTGAAAATATTATGACCACATCTTAAACAAAAGTATGTTTGTACTTGAGTATACATAAATGTAAAACAACTAGATATTTGTATTATTTCTAATTGTTCTTATTTATGCCAAACATAGTTGTGCATAAGAAACTATTATGTAGTTTCTTATGCACAACTATGTTTGGCATAAAATATAGAAACTATATAAAATATAGTTTCTATGTTTAGTTTCTATATAAAAATATAAAAAACTATATTTTTTAGTTTCACCTACATTAGGCATTTCTCCCAATGTTATCCCTCCCCAATCTCCCCCTGCCAGCTACCCCTCCCCTAGCTTCCTACTCCCAACAGACACCAGTGTGTGATGTTCCCCTCCCTGTGTCCATGCGTTCTCATTGTTCAACACCCGCCTATGAGTGAGAACATGCAGCGTCTGGTTTTCTGTTCTTGTGTCAGTTTGCTGAAAAGGATGGTTTCCAGATTCACCCATGTCCCTGCAAAGGACATGAACTCATCCTTTTTTTAATAGATGCATGTATTCCATGGTGTATATGTGCCACGTTTTCTTTGTCCAGTCTATCACTGATGGGCATTTGGGGTGGTTCCAAGTCTTTGCTATTGTAAACAGTGCCACATGAGCATACGTGTACATGTATCTTTATAATAGAATGATTTATAATCCTTTGGGTATATACCCAGCAATGGAATTGCTGGGTCAAATGGTATTTCTATTCCTAGATCCTTGAGGAATCACCACACTGTCTTCCACAATGCTTGAACTAATTTACACTCCCACCAACAGTGTAAAAGTGTTCCTATTTCTCCACATCTTCTCCAGCATTTGTTGTTTCCAGATTTTTTAATGATCACCTTTCTAACTGGTGTAAGATGGTATCTCAATGTGGTTTTAATTTGCATTTCTCTAATAACCACTGATGAGCATGTTTTCGTATGTTTCTTGGCCACATGAATGTCTTCTTTTGAAAAGTGTTTGTTCACATCCTTCGGCCACTTTTGAATGGGTTTGTTTTATTCTTGTAAATTTGTTTTAGTTCTCTGTAGATTCTGGATATTAGTCCTTTGTCAGATGGGTAGCTTGAAAAAATTTTTTCCCATTCTGTTGGTTGCCAGTTCACCCTAATAATTGTTTCTTTTGCTGTGCAGAAACTCTGGAGTTTAATTACATCCCCATTGTCTATTTTGGTTTTTGTTACCATTGCTTTTGGTATTTTAGTTATGAAGTCCTCACCTATGCCTATGTCCTGAATGGTATTGCCTAGGCTTTCTTCTAGAGTTTTTTATGGTGTTAGGCCTCATATTTAAATCTTTAATCCATCTGGAATTAATTTTTGTATAAGGTGTAAGGAAGGGGTCCAGTTTCAGCTTTCTGTACATGGCTAGCCAGTTTTCCCAACCATTTATTAAACAGCAAATCCTTTCCCCATTGCTTGTTTTTGTAAGGTTTTCAAACATCACGTGGTTGTAGATGTGTGGCATTGCCTCCGAGGGCTCTGTTCTGTTCCATTGGTTGATATCTCTCTTTTGGTACCAGTACCATGCAGTTTTGATTACTGTGTCCTTGTAGTTTAGTTTGAAGTCATATAGTGTGATACTTCCAGCTTTGTTCTTTTTGCTTAGGATTGTCTTGGCTATGCGGGCTCTTTTTTGGTTCCATATGAAGTTTAAGGTGGTTTTTTTCCAGGTCTGTGAAGGTCAATGGTAGCTTGATGGGGATAGCATTGACTCTATAAATTACTTTAGGCAGTATGTCCATTTTCATGATATTGATTCTTCCTAACCATGAGCATGGAATGTTTTTCCATCTGTTTGTGTTCTCTCTCATTTCCTTTAGCAGTGGTTCATAGTTCTCCTTGAAGAGGTCCTTTACATCCTCTGTTAGTTATACTCAAGTATTTTATTCTCTTTGTGGCAATTGTGATTGGGAGTTCACATATGATTTGGCTCTCTGTCTCTTATTGGTGTATAGGAATGCTTGTTATTGGTGTATAGGAATGCATGTTATCATGTAACACCCACAAGGAAAACTCTTCAAGGACTTCCCACCCCACTCAACCAAATTCAAAGTGCCTTAAGTGTTGTTGTTGAATCTCACAGAACTTGGAAAATAGAAGTTTCTGGCCATAGATGTTAATGAATCTAGTGTCCCATTTACAAACTTAGTGTCCTGAGAGTGGCACAGGAATGTTCTTTGATGCTAAGTATTTAGAATGTATTCCCTGTGAGTAGTTTTGTAATGCTTGAAACTCCACCCATTTATACTCAGTTCTGTTCAATTCACTCACCATTTATTATGGTCTAGTATTTGACAACTGTACTCAAGAGTGTAAGAGATTCAAAGATAATATTAGCTCTGTAGGGAACCAGCCCCACATCCCACCCGTGGGTACCCTGAGTTTGGTGGTGACAAAGGAATGAGAAAAAGACAGATTAAGAGTGAAAGGGACCATGTGACCATCAGTTTTTACTGGAGGCAGTGAAGGCCCCGAGCACTGATCTCCCACTGTATTTATTGGTTACAATCACTTTGATCTACAGGGTAGGGGTGGAGTAATGGTGGGGAGAGGGTGATGTGATGGTGGGGCGAATCACTGAGCCAGAACTGAATCAGTGAGCTGGAACTGGTGAGTCATTCTAAAGATTGATAACAGTGGCAGTTTGGGAGTTTCACAAAACAAGAACATGTGTTTATCTTTAGCTTATTATCTATGCACTACTGATGGAATGCAGGCCTTACAAGGAGTCTGCAAGCCTGGCCACATCATAGTGGTATGAAGGGGTTTTATGTCCTTGAGCACAATGTTTATGGTGACAGAGCTGAGGTCACCCTGCACCAGAACATCAGGCATGGGGAAGTTTACCTCCCCAGAGGCCTGCTGCAGTTTGCTGCGGTTTGTTGTTCCCAGTTTGTATGTTACTCACAACCAATTTATGTAGGCACTGTGTAGGTCCTTTCTCCTTTACTGCTTCTCCCAACAATCTTACAGTTACATGGGGTTAATACTATAATAAAAAACATGACTAAAGTGTGTGCTTTATCTTCTTTGCCACTTGTGCATTGGCATTCTTTTACTCTATTCCTACAAAACTAATCACAGAATTTTTGACTAAATATTTGATAGCTTTTGTAGATTTTTTTTCTCATTTTGTATTGTTTAAACATGAACAAATATGAAGGAGGTCTAGTTCAGAGTGAAAGGTTGCTGTGAACTCTAAATTTGGAGTTTTTCTTCCCTAGAGAAAATAAACAAGCACAGATAAATTAAACTTAATAATAAATGAGTTTATACTTCACTGAAAGGTCTCTACATAACAGTAAAATGTCTTTCCTTTGCTCCCCTTAGGAGCAAGAATCCAGATAGGGTGAATCATCTTAATTGCCAATAGTAAGTATACGTTGAGAGCTGACCAAATAATCTCTAGTGAAACAGGGCAAATGGAGGCAGTTCTTAGGAAGCCCTATCCTCTTGGCAATGAATCTCTAAGCATCACCTGTTGCTACTTTCTGAGCTGATGAGCAACATGCAAATACCTTTTTGAATGCCCCTATGACATCCTTGTTTCTGAGGCTGTAGATGAGGGGATTGAGCACAGGTGTGACAATGGTGTAGAAGGCTGACACCACTTTGTCCTGCTCAGGGGTGTGGAACGACTGCGGCAGCACGTATGTGTAGAAGGCAGCTCCGTAGAAAATGCTCACCACAGTCAAGTGCGAGGAACAAGTGGCGAAGGCCTTTCTGCGACCTTCAGCTGAGCGCATGCGGTGGACGGTGAACAAGATGAGGGAGTAGGAGGTGGAGATGATAGAGATGGGGATGAGCAGCATGAGGACACAGCAGGTGTACATCAGAGTCTCATACAACAACGTGTCAGCACAGGCCAGTTTGAGAACTGCGGGGATCTCACAGAAGAAGTGGTTGATGCTACGGGAGCCACAGTAAGGGACATTCATGGTGATGGGAGTGAGCAGAAAGCCATCCAGGGAGCCGCCAAACCAGGCGCCAGCAGCCAGCAACACACACATCTTGCGGTCCATCAGGACTGGGTATCTCAAAGGGTTGCAGACAGCCACGTAGCGGTCATAAGCCATGAGGCCCAGTAGGAAGAACTCAGAACCAATCATGGTCAAGTAGAGGAAGATCTGGATGCCACAGGCCACAAAGGAAATGGTTTTCTCTTTAGAAGCCATGTCTGCCAGGAGCTTCGGGACAGTGGTACAGATGAAAAGGGTGTCCATGATGGACAGCTGACTGAGCAGAAAGTACATGGGGGTGTGGAGGCGAGAGTCCACCTGGATCAAGAATGTCATGACCAAATTTGCAGTGACAGCCACTACAAAAACAGCCAAGATCACTGTGAACACAACCCCCACAGCCTCACTGTTTACCAGAAGCCCCAGGAGGATGAAGTCAGAGGATGACGTGGTGTTCTGCATTGATATTGCCTGTGACAGTTCCGGGGAGAGGGAGACACAGCACCAGGCGGGAAGCAGGAGAACACATTCAAGATGGGGAGAGTCTGCAGTGGAGATGGCCCTTTGGAGGGTGTTGGTCAGGAGGAAGTTTTCCAGAGTAGAGGCTGGGGAAGAACAAGTAGACTGACATGCACACCACAAAGCAGACACTGCGGCTGTATTTCTCTTTGTCAGAGAACAGCTCTTTATTGTGTCTGTGTTCATGCTGTTGTAGGTTATGGTAACTGCATGATAAAATTGCTGTATGCTATAACCAAGAATGGGGTTTTAACCATGTATGTTCTGTCCATGCTGCTTTTCTTGTATCCAGAAAGTTATCTAACCCATAGTAGGGTAAAGTAAATACTAGTTGGAAAAGAAGGGATGATGGATTCATTGATTGACTAAATGGATAAAGGCAAGTGAAGCAAATAACTGAGGAAATGAAGGGTTAGGATAACTTTTGCAGCTTCATGAGTAAAATGTTCCCTATGTCTCTGTTATTCTATTATTTCTTTTTCTTTATTTTAAAAATTAACCACATAAGTTTAAGGACTACGTGTGCAGTGTCATTACCTGGATGTGTTGCACGGCAGTGGAGTCCTGACTTTTACTGTAACCGTAATTCAAATAGTGTAGACTGTGCACATACTGATTTCTCACCCCTCAGCCCCCTTTCAGCCCCCCGCTCTTCCAAGTCTTCCATGCCTATTATTCCACTGCTTATGTCTAAAGTTGGGCCTCCTCACTGTTCCTTGCACTGTTTTGCAAACCTTTTTGTAGATCTTTCTTCAGGTAGTTTTTAACCTTCTAAGTCATTTGCAAATAGCTTCCAGAATTAAATTTTTAAAAAGCAGTTGATGACACTAAACTGATTCCCTGCATGGCTCCCCATTGCTGCTGTACATTTGGGAGACAGGCAGGGAAGTTAAAAGTAGAATGTTGGCAGGTTAAAGCTATGTCAGCAGGAGACATATGGGAGCAAGGTTAGCCAAGCTACCTATCTGCCAACGTTTACCTGAACTGAGACCAGTGCTCAACTCAGGTGTAGAAAGCTACGGACCAGATATATAAGAATGTGATGGCAACGGGCCACAGTTTAAGAAGGGATCTTTTCTTTAACTTATATCAGGTGGCAGAAAGATTTAAATGTTAAAAAACAAAAAGGAAAAGAACCATACATGTAGTAAAGTAGCACCCTCTTCCTGCCACCCCCGTCCCCCGAATGGCAGGCCTCAGTGGCTTGAGTCTCAAACATTTGTGTCTGTAAAAATGAAAGCCCAGTCAAGCCCAGATACATGCTGCAGGGTTTTAAAAAACTAATTTGTTTTCCCTCACTCACATGTTGCTAGACACCTTGGCCCCACTATCCAGTGTTGCCAGATTTAGCAAATAAAAATATAGGATCCTCAGCTATATTTGACTTTCAGATAGTCAAAAAATATGTTTTAGTATAAGTTTGTAATATACTTATACCAAAAAAAAGGGTTCATTGTTTATCTGAAATTCAAACTTAGCTGGTTATCCTTTACCATGCTGAAGTCATACCTGGTTTCCCAAAGGTATCAGAATTGTAATGACATTAAAATGTGACCAATAGAATCAGTACAAACTAATTAATAGAGTCTAATACAAATATGTTATATATTAACATCAAAACTAAATTGGCTGACTCCCAATTTCCCTCTGATTGATATGTTCAGATTACTGTGAAAGTAGCTCAAGGCTGTGGCCTCCTTTGTCAGGCCTCCCAGAAATACTCTGTGGTCAGAACTCTATGTCAGTGAGTCTCAGCCTCCTGATCCACTCCTGATCCTTTAAATTCTATTCCATTTCTCAAGGATAACGGAACACAAATACTGTCTAAAAATATGTTCTGCTAAAGTTCAAAAACATAAAGGAAACACTGTATTTGAGACTCCCAAAACTTCCTAATAAAGTTAACCCACACTAAGAATAGAGTACATCTCTTTGTCATTTAAACAAATTCAAACATTTTTATCCAAAAAGTGTAAAACAGTAAAAGCAGGCCAGGTGTGGTCGTTCATGCCTATAATCCCAGCACTTAGGGAGGCCGAGGTGGAAGGATCACTTGAAGCCAGGAGTTTGAAGTGAGCCTGGGCGACGTAGCAGAACGCGTCTTTATAAAAATATAAATAAATTAGCCAGGTGTGGTGGTGCATGTCTGTCACTTGCGCCTGGAGTCTGAGGTTACAGTGAGCAATGATTGTGCTACTGCACTCCAGCCTGGGTGACAGAGCAAGACCCTGACTCATAAAATAAAATGAGTAAATAAAACATTTATTTATTAACAAACTAGCAATTAAACGTGTAGTATTTCTCATCATGTCCATGCCAGTAGTCGCCTGGCTTAATCCATCGTTACACATTCACCTGGCTTGTTCCACAAACTTTCCCACACTCTCCCTGCTCTCTCCCGTGAATCCCCCAGTCTAGTCTCAGCACAGCCACTGCAGTCACGCTGGGACCCTGCATCACACCAGGTCACTTCCGCTCAAACCCTACAGTTGTGCTTTCGATCACACTTTAAGGCCCATTGCGTTCTGAGCATTTTGTCCTCTCAAGTGATCTCCTGCTTACTCCAGTCTGTTTGTGCCTGTGATCCAGCTACCGTGGCTTCCTCGCTGGTCCTCTGTCCCCACTTGGCAAGATCCCTGAGCCCAGGCCTTTGGCTCTGCTGCTCCCCTGGCCTGGGGCTCCTCCGGACCTCTGCGCAAGGTCATCCCCTCCTGTCCTACAGGGCGTTGCTCAAAAGCCACCTTCTCAGAGGGGTCTATTCTGCACCTATGGCTTGCCTTTTCTTAACACCATCTGACACACTATACTTTGTGTTTACCTCTTCACACTAGAAAGTAAGCTTCATGGAAATAAGGATTTTTGCCTATTTCGTTAACTGTGTACTCTCACCATCTAAAGAAATGACTGGGATGTTGTAAATCTTTGTTAAATAAATCATTTTTAAACACATTCAACCAGCAAGAAATGCACATTACTTCTATGTTTTTTTTTAATATGATAAGCCTCTAGTAAAATTCCTTCAAAACATCTCCTGATTTTATAAAATGTGTTAAAGAGAAATAATATTTTAATGCCAGGTACTTATGATAATCTTCACTGCAAAATAAAATGAACATAAAATGGGATCCATCCACATTTTATAAAAAGAAATTTAATTCTAGGAAACAAATAAATCACAAGTTTTTAAGATCAAACAGCAATATAACTTATACTTCTAAATCATTCAGGTTTATATATAGTACAAATTTGAGACAATTACTCTCTGTGGTTTAAAATAAATACACCTAGTTATAGAGTAACTAAGATGTCAGCATAATTCACAAAAAGAGGAGTGACTCGCCACTTCCTCTGCCCTCTGATTCTGTCCTTGCTATGACAGCTCTTCATGCAAGTAGGTACCAATTAATAGGTTAAAGATAACTTTAGATTCAAATGTTATTATATATCCAGAGATTGTATTGTATTGTAGATGTTCATAAGAGAGTTTGAATTCACTTTATGTTAAACAGATAAAAAGACAGAAAATTATTGTCTATGATTTGTTGCAGTTGCAGATTTCCATCTGCCTTCTATTATCAGAAAAATTGTCTTAAATAATGCCATAGGGCTTGTTATTAACTTGCTACTTTGTTAAATTGAATGACAGTGTAATAGACTTAGTTTAGTGTTAAATGAAACCAAGTGTGGGCAGAGTAATCTTCCACCTCCAGCAAAGGTCCTTGTCTGATGTCTCTGGAACCGGTGAATATGCTCTGTTACATGGCAAAAAAGACTTTGCAGTTATGATTAAGAATTCTGAGATGAAGTGATTGTTCTGAGTTATGCTGCTGGACTCACCGTAAATGCCACGGTCTTACAAAGGAAAGAGGAGGCAGGAGAGTCAGAGACGTGACTTGGAAACAGGTCGGAGGAATTCAGTCAGTCTCTGGGTTTGACAATAGAGGAGACCCCAAGCCAAGGAATGTAGGTGTCCTCTAGAAACTGGAGAGGGCTAAGAAATGGATTCTCTCCTAAAGCCTCTAGAAAAGAAGGCAGCCTCCCCAACATCATGAGTTCAACCCAGTGAGAACCATTTTCAACTTCCGATCTCCAGACTGTGATATTATCAACTTTGTGGTAATTTGGTACCACAGCCATAGGGAACTTCTATGCCAATAAATAACTTTCTTAGTTTTTAAACTAAATTGAGACATGTTGCAATGATAAATTGGCCAGCACTTGCGTGGTGCTTACTGGGTCCCAGGCATCATGGCACATGTGCCAGTGTTTTGACTTGCCCTTCACAGCGCTCCATGGGGCCGACCACTGTAATTATCACCATCTCACAGCTGGCAAGTCTGAGGCTCAGAGAAGTCCAGTGGGAGAGCTGGATCCAGGCTCAAGGACTCAACTTTTGTTTTTCCTGCTCTCTGCCACTAGTCTCAACTGCTCCCCAAGGACACAATATCGTTTTGAGCATCGCTTAGGTTTACACGCAGCCAAAGAGAAGTTAAATGAATACAGGGTAAAAGGCCATAAACATGCTCAAGACAAATTTGAATTTCTGATCAAAAGTTGTCAACAAAGTAATAAAGTGACAAAATGAAGTTAACAATTTTCCAGAAACTAAAAAATCTCCCTAACTCCTGGGCAATTCTCAGTCATTATACGCCTGCCTGCAGGTGTCTGGATTTATAATGAGGTCCATGAAAAAACGCCCACCAAATGTACCCCGAGAAAGTTCTTGCAAATGCCATACTCACAAAACTCACTGTTGTGAGATTGCTGAGGGCATGACTTACCTCCCAGCAGACATTATCATGCCCATTTAATAGGCATGTTCCCAGCCCTGCCCAGCATCACCACTGTTAACAGGGAGCACTGTATGCACTACTCCCTTCAGAGGATTTGAGATTTAAGATCACTGTCATGTACATAAGGAGGGAGTGGCGGACTTCACTTAAGAATAATTTCAACGTTTCTTGCATAAAGAAAAGACAAATACGTATTTAGGGTCCTTGCTAGACTTTATGCTTTCTTCTATTACAATTTTATATTGCATAAATATAAATGCTTATTTATTGTGTAAATAAAACAAATATGTAGAAGCAAGGGTTCAGTATATTTTATATCCATATTCCTCACCTGAAGACAGACCCCACAGGGAATCTGATTCCCCCTCAGCTTTGGTCATCCGGTCCCTGCTAGACCAGCCTAACTGGCATCCAACAGCAAATGAACGTGGGTTTTATCAGCACATTGCTCTGAAGAGGGACCTTGTCCCCAGGTCATTATTAGGGTTAACAAGCTGGCAGGTGCCCATTGTGCCCCATTTTGTTTTGAGACAGTCTTGCCCTGTTGCCAAGGCTGGAGTGCAGTAGGGTAATGGTGGTTCACTGCAACCTCCACTCTGGGTTCAAACAATTCACCTGCCCCAGCCTACCAAGTAGCTGGGATTATAGGCGTGCACCACTATGCCCAGTTAATTTCTTGTATTTGTAGTAGAGATAGGATTTCACCATGTTGGCTGGGCTGGTCTGGAACTGCTGGTGATCCACATGTCTTGGTCTCCCAAAGTGCTGGGATTACAGGCATGAGTCACTGTGCCCAGCTGCCTCTCTCCTTTGTAAATTGTTTATCAGTTAATATCATGGCTTAGCACAAAACACCAGCCCAGAGGTTAGAAGATATGGTTCTGAAGCCCCATCTGCCTCTTGCTTGAATGGGGCAAAACTTTGCTGTGAACATCAGCTTGTTTATATCCTATGGGGTGAATTCTTTCTCTAAATACTTTATGAGATTTTGTGAAGATCAGAATCAAAATTAGATAATGTAGTTAAATATGTCCTCAAAATTAGGGACAGTCTTCTCTTTATTTGTTCCTCATTACCTGGATTAGTGCATTGTTTCAGGTATACAACAGATAATATTAAAATTAACTTTTAAGTTATTAAATAATATATATTTTATTACTAAATTAATATATTGTTTTAATAAAGAAGCAAATCTGATGACCACAAATTACCTTATACAAGAATTTGGTCAGATGACTGGGGAAATCCCTGGTCACTCCCTTTCACGGTGGAACTAATTTTATGTGTGAAGGGAGGGGCACCTGCCACATGTAAAATGAGGTTTAAAAATGTTTAAAAATTGTATTAAAGTAGAGCCTACAACAGAAAAGTGCACACATCAATAGTGGAAAGAATGATAAACCACCATGAAAAAAACATATTCAAGGAACCACTGCTGACTTTGTTGAACAGACTCTTAACATTGAATAAGTCACCTCCTTCAATGCCCCGATCACTAATGTCCATGACATCCCTGGAAACTTGTCAAAATGCACTTCATTTACTTACTGCTTTTCAGGTACACTGCTGAAATATCTGTCAATGTTAGTGTTAAAGATCCTTGTTAAATGTGCAAAGAATTAATCTTGGAAATATGAGAACAAAAGTCCTATTATATTTTAATATATAGCAACTGAGGAAACGGGAAAGAAAACACCAATGTCCCAGGATAGAGCAAAAATGCAACATGAATTGAAGGAGATTTGTAGAGGGAAGAAAGATCAGGACAGGTGCTCACTACGGCAGGAGAATGGAGAAGGGGGAAGGCATCAGTGCAGAGATACACAGGAATTAAAAGTGAATGGAGCTGAATTGAAATAACTTTGAGGATATTTCAAAAATGAATCCTGGTCTGTTTTTGCACTTAAAGGAATTAATCCCTCCAGGACATTCTTCCATCTCTTTTCTATGTGTTTGTTTGTTTGATTTCAGGATAAAGTTCAAATTATTAGGAAACTTCTGAATCAAAAACAACCGAGGGATTCGTATATCGAAGGGAATATTCTTTATCTTCATCAGCAACAATGGAGGAACATTTTTCCTTCTATCTCTGTGTTGACACTAGAATAACATAAGGCTGAATTACCTTTTCTTAGTATTTACTTGTAACCACTCAAAACTTTGTCCGATACTTTTTAACCTTGTATCAATAAAGAAAATAAACACCAGGTCCATCAATATTTATTTTTTATTTCTCATATATCAGGACCTTACACACAAGAGAAGCTAAAGTTAAATAAACGGATGGTGGAAAAGTCAGTGTTGCCTTTGCTTAGTTAGAATTCCACCAAAGTTGCACATCTATCAAAGCACCACACTTAACTCCAACTAATTACAAAAGAAATACTTTTCTTTAGCATATCAGTGGAGGTGTCGAGAATAAGAAAACTGATCAACTTATTCCAAGGGAACTAAGTTAGCTAAAGACACGTCTTGGTTTATTCATTCTATGTTTATTACTACTTTATTCAAGTGTAAATGGCAGTTTTGTGGGTAAGGCCATGTAATAATCTTAATGGCATAGTCAATTTTCAATCAATCAATCAATCAATATTTATTAATTTCCAGGAATATATTGGACTCCATGTGAATAAAGGCATGGCAAGTATTTAATATAATTTCAGAGGTAAGAGATAAAATAAAAACATTGATAAAATGTAATTAAGAATACAGAACCAAAAATACGATAGTATCACCTTCATAAAAGTTTTCTAAATAAAATTAGCACTGGAAAATATTTTACTCATATTGAATGTTTTAAATTAAATCATCAAGGAGGTGGCAAATGCTCCTTGCAATTTCCACCCAAAAGTTGGCCAGCAATACAGACACGAAGGATGGATGACCACATGTAACACATAACACTTTGAAGTTCAGGGCACTTCAAAGGGCTGCTTGGCTTGCCATGAACAGTTTATAGGGCTACTTGACTGAGAATGCCCTCTGAAAATGTTTCTTGGTGAATCCAGTAGAACAAATTGGCTAATGCAGAGATTCTCGCCAACCTTGCTATTGTTCCTAGATAATCCTTGCACAAGGATATTGCCTGTTTATATATTTGAATTGCTAAAAATGACACTGAAAAGTCTTCAGAACCAATACCATATTTTCTGGAATAGCTGTGTGTGGCCACATGCTTGTACTCAGCCCCCCACTAGTTCTTCCTGATCGTACTCGCCACTTGGATTCTCTGGGAGGGGCCCCATCTCCCTAGTACTCTCTTCAGCGCGGCGGCCACATCTTTATTCCTCAAGCTGTAGATGAGTGGGTTGAGCATGGGGGTGAGGACGGTGTAGAAGGCGGACACAACTTTGTCCGTCGCTGGAGTGTGGTAGGAGTGGGGCAGCACGTTGGTGTAGAAGGCTGCCCCGTAGAAGATGCTCACCACCATCATGTGAGAGGAACACGTAGCAAAGCCTTTGCGCCGGCCCTCAGCAGAGCTCATGCGGTGGACAGTGAGGAGGATGTGGGTGTAGGAGACAGAGATGATGGACAGAGGGATGAGCAGCATCAGCACGCAGCAGGCGTACATCAGGGTCTCATAGAGCGACGTGTCTATGCAGGACAGCTTCAGCACAGCTGGAATCTCACAGAAAAAGTGATTGATCTCTCGGGATCCACAGTAGGGGAAATTCATAGTGACAGGAGTCAGCAAGAACCCATCCAAGGAACCACCCACCCAGGAGCCGACTACCATGAACAAGCAAATCCTGCGGTTCATGAGGAGAGGGTACCGTAAGGGGTTGCACACAGCCACGTACCGGTCATAGGCCATGAGACCCAGCAGGAAGAACTCCCCTCCCATCAGAGTCAGGTAGAGGAAGATCTGGAATGCACAGCCCAGGAAGGAAATGGTCTTGTCCTTGGACAGGAGGTCCTGGAGCATCTTGGGGATGGTAACACAGACGTAGATGGTATCCATGATGGACAGCTGGCTGAGCAAGAAGTACATGGGCGTGTGGAGGCGAGAGTCCACATGGATGAGCAGAATCATGACCACATTGGCTGTTATAGCCACCACAAAGATGGAGAAGACTATTGCAAAGACAAGCCCCGGGAAGGCAGGGTGGGTGATGAGGCCTATGAGGACGAAGTTAGTGTGGTTCTGGAGAAGAGCTTCCATGCCCATGTTCCATGACAGTTCCTTGGCCTGTAAAGGCAGAAATCTGGTAGCTTATTTAATGACCTGATATTTAGAAAGAGCCCACCAGGAATAGTACGTTAGAAGCACCATGAGATAAAGAAAAGAACGTCTACTTCAGGATCATTTGAAACCCCAGTTTCAGTATCAGTGATCTGTATGACATTGGACAGAAAATTAATCTCTCAACTAACTCAATTTCATCATCTGTGAAAGGTCATCATAGGTCTATACAGGCTGGATGTGAGATGTAAATGAAATAATTCATGCAGTTCCTCTTTTAGAATCTGCTTTATTTTTATTCTGAACTATTTTCTGAATACATTTTATAATCTTACCACTTTAGATTGAAAGTTTCCTGAGGGTGGTTACTGTCCTTTATTTCCCATTTTTGCCTGGCAATACATGCTTTAATTGAATTTAAATTGCTCTCTGCATCTCCATTAAGATGATCATATTAAGATAATACAATTATGACTTAAGAAATTGATAGAAAATATCAGATAACTGACGTTTTTGGCTTTTGTTGTCACTAAACAGCTTTGTGAAAGTCTGTAACATCAAAGCAGTACAGACGACCTCACTTGAGGGTCAGGAGCCACGGTGTCATGTGGTTAGACTTTTGTGCTGCAAAAGGAGTTCATATTTTAGGCATGGGTTGCTTTGAGTACTTGTGTCTATTTGTTCTCATGGAATAATTTGGCGATCATAAATCTTGAAGGAGGAGCACCACAAACTCTGCTTCACAGCAAGGCTTTAGTTTCGTTATCATGGTGGCTTTTCTGGTTGACACAATGAATTCTGCTAAAATTTTATGACTCGGTACTGCATCATGTCATTCAATGATGACCTATTCTTCTCTTAAAATACTGTTTAGCCAAAATGTGAAAGTGGTATGATAAATTTAAGAGTGGCATTCTATACCTGTCCTAATGTTACATTATCCTAGGAATCCACTGCTAGTTGGATTTTTTCCTCCTTAAATTTATTTCTCTTCCATTTTACTGATCCTTCATGTTTATAAGTAAAAATAACTACAGATGGTAAAGACATTTCTGAACTTAGAGGGAGGAAGACACAGCAGTATCAAACGTTCTTTGAACTAAATGGAATGAATTCTCATGTTTTTATTCTTGAGTAACATGAATGCATGTCCCCTTGATATTTTCAGGGATACTGAGGGATGAATCGTTCCTTTTTGTTATGGATTTTGGTGTATTTCTTCCCATTATAGTGACAGGATTACTGAAGAAACCCATTTATGTAAAATGTTTTGGCCACTAATACTACAAACACATCTGAATCTTTAGTTTCCAGATTAGTCAGATTTACAGTCTCCAAAGCGTCAAGAAGGAATAAACTCCCCTTACGCTGAAGCAAAAACAATAGGAACAATAGAGACAGTGTTCCTTCTTAGTGCTCATCAAAGGTGGAGAAGATGGGGATATGAGCAATAGGCCTAAAAGATGAGTAAACTCCTAAAGGGAGAAAATAAAAATCAATTTTTGTGTTGGTCTGTGCTGAAACTTAAATTTATCATACCTTGGTTGAGAAGGAGAAAAAACAACCCATGAGCATCAAATATTAACTCCCAATAAGCTTGATAAAAGTCAGCTACTTTTGCCTTCTCTGATAGGTGAAAGATTTTCCTGTGATAGCTACAGCTTTGAATCATGGGTCAAGAGACAATACTTAAATATAAAATTCAATGCACAACAACTTTTGCAATAACTCGCTGGAAATTAAAAATATTAATTTGGCAGACAATAAGTTTACCTTGACCAACATCTATTATTTCCCTTAAATGCATTATAGATATTATATATTAATTACTATAGTGCTAAATTAGCTTACAATCATCCTTTTAAAAATACACTTTGAAAAACTGAAATAGGCAAGAATGAGACAAATGAAAATGACCTAAGAAAATAACTAATTACTTTTGAATCACAACATGAGCCAGAGCGTTGTGTTCCATGTAAATAACCAGACTGCACTTCACACAAGGTTTTCAAAGAGGGGGCAAAACACTCTATTGCCTCAAATGTCTATGATGAAGGAATGAAGACATTTCCAACTCCTAGATCTTATGTCAGTATAGATCCTAGAAGAAGAAAGTAAAAAAGCTGAAACAGGAGAAAAATATGATTTTAGCTACCTTCCTTAATTTTATACAACCAAGACTGAGTTAAAAACAAAAACAGAATTAGATAGTGGTTGCTTGTGAGTGTGTTGTATGTACATGTGTGTGGAGTGTGTTCATATGTGAGAGTGTGAGCATGGTGTGTGTTTGTGTGGGGTGTGCATCTGTGAATGTGTGGGGATATGTGTAGGGAGCTGACCTTGCTAAAGAGCAGAACACTACACTGCTTAACACAAAGGAGCAGTTCACTCATTTCAATGAAGCCAATATTTAGAACCAAATGCAACACATGTCCAAATGCATGACTAATACTGTTCCATAGGATATTTATTGGTCATTGCATGTGGGCCGTGAAAATATCTGCATTATGAACAAAATAATATGTGATCAGTTACTTCTGTTTACATCAGTTCCCAGAACCTAATTTTAACATTAGGGTTCACACTATTGTTTAACACACTGTGTGGTTTGGCTTATTCACATATACAAGATGCTGGATTCCACTCCCCCTCAGGTAGCCTTTCCTCCGCTATCATCATTCTCCACTGTTCAAGACCCTTTAGTTTCTTTCTATTTCCCTCATCAACTAGTCTTTTCAAACAAACAAAAACAAAAAAGGCTTTTGAAAGAAAGGAGGGGAAGAGAGAGAAAGAAAATAAGAAAGAGGAAGAGAAAGAGCAAACATTTATTTGCATGATTTGAAGCTTCAGGCCTTTCTGCTGTTCAAGGCAGGGAATGCTTTGCCCCCAGTGCAGGTTAGAACATAAGCCAGAAGCTCCTGACCCCAGGACCAGTTATAACATACCCAGTGTTGCCACAGAATGATCTGGTGGGAATGGGAGGGTGGGAAGATGAAGCCAGGGGGTGGAGGACACTGTGCCCAGGAGTGCTGCATGGCTTTTACCTTCACACTTGGGGCTGATGGGGTAAGGGATGAGTGAGCTCGCAGAGGCATTTATTCTGCCTGCGGCCTGCCACACGGAGAGAAGAGGGAGAGGGAAACCTTCTGGTTGCAGAATCTCTCTGCAGGGTGCCAGGTGGTCAAAGCTGTGATTTGCTTGTGTCTGTGTTTCAGGACAGCAGACCTGGAGTAGTTCTGGGTAGAAATCAAAACACAATCAGTGACTCTCACTGAAAATTGTATGAAGAGAGCTCCAAGAGAGGTCAGATGATACCCTACCAGGGAGAAGAGCTTGGAGCGATTCATTCTGACACCCCGTTCCAGGACTTTAGCATGACTACAGCCATGAGAAGTAACTATCAGTGTCTTTTCTGCCACAATAAAACTGCTAACCAGAACTGATTTTCTCCACTTGACTCCATGTACCTATAAACCTTTAAAGGGAAGGGTTTCCATTCTGTTCTTAGAGATAGAATGCCTCAAGTGTAAAACATTCTGTGTTCAAGACACAGCACCTGCTGTCGTGTGAGCTGCAAAGATTAACAGCAACTGACCATCTCCTTTAGGAGTATATAGTTAAGTTTGATAAATGTATCATATATTAAAAATCCTCATAAAAGCAGGTCATTTGAAGTCTAAAGTGGGGGTTTCTAAAAATGAAAAATTATGTTGAGGACTTTTGAAAGGTGTTTAGCCACAGAAATAACATACAGCTAATGCAGCTGTGTTTTGTTCAGCTGTCAAATTGCTCTGGGGATGACAGGCATGGAGGTACTTCTCCGGACCTCAGTGTTCTTTCAGTGAAAGACTGGCATATCACCAACATATTACTAATAAAAATTGCCACAGAGCTCTAAGAGTCATTGATTGTTTTTTCCTGAATGACAGAAAGGGGGCCAAGGATAGCATATTGGACTATTTCTGCTTTGATTAAAGTTTGTAAAAAGAAGATAGCTAATGTTGCTAAAGGCACTAAGAGATGTAGGAGGAGAAACAGCTACATCTATAGATGTAGCATTCCCCAATCCAGAAAGAACATGTAGGGCTTTACATGTGCCAGGTACTTTAGGAGTTTTACATACATCAGGTCAGAGCAAACCAGAAGATGTTATGCATCAGTCTGAGTAGTGGATAAGGATGCAGTTCCCCCTTACCTGTGGGAGACACTTTCCAAGACCCCCAGTGGGTGTCTGAAACTGCAGACAGTCCTGAGCCCTATATATACCGTATTTTATCCCATACTTAGATACCTGTGATAAAGTTTAACTTATCAATTAGGCACAGCAAGAGATTAACAATAATAACTAATAATAAAATCGAATACTTAAAACAATATACTGTGGTTATAACTTTGCAGTTTGAGATGTGACTGCAAAGCTTGCACAATTTGTTTCTTTCTTCATGATTTCAAAGATAAAGTTTTTCTTACCATAGGTCTTAGCAAACTGAGCATATAAGCCTTTTTCTCTCCTTATTACGTCAAGAATTTTCACCCGTTTACTCAGAGTAAGCAATTTATAGCCTCTCTTAGGCATACCTAAATGGCCAGCATCACTGCTCCATGTCGTTGGGGGCATTATTAAGAAAAGAGTGACTTCATTACAAGCACTGTGAATCCACCACAGTTGATTTGATAACCTAGACTGCTGCTAAATGACTCAGTAGTGTAGACAGCGTGAATCAGCTGGACAGAAGGATGATTCCCGTCCTCTGCAGGACAAGATTTCATCACACTGCTCAAAATGGTATGTAATGTAAAATTTATGAGTTGTTTATTTCTGAGATTTTTCATTTGCTATTTTTAACACATGGTAGACAGCAGGAATCTGGCAGATTGCAGGTAACTAAAACTGTGGAATGAAAGCGTTATAATAAGAGAGGAATACTGTGTCAGAAATCTTTACCCTGAGGGTTCACCCTATGGCTAGAAACTGAAATGATCTTAAAGCACAAAACATTGGAAGAGAACTTAAGAGAAAACTGCTTCGAAAATACTCGTGTATGGCAAGAACCAAGAGAAGACAGGAGTCATTTCAGTTAAACAGTGCGATAGTGGAGCTGGAAATTGGTCTGATTCTGAAACTGGAGACTTCAGGAGAGGGGACATGATCAAAGACAGTGTCAATCATGTCAGAAAAGGCTGGAAAGCAGCAATTAGCAGGGCACCTGGGGTTAAGGAAGCTGGGGAGAGACCAGTCTAACATGGGATAAGGTGGGGTGCGGCGTGGTGCGGCAAGGTGGGGTGGGGTGAGGTGGGGTGGGGTGGGGTGGGGTGAGGTGAGGTGGGATGAGGTGGGGTGGGGCAGTGTGAGGTGAGGGGCAGACACCTGTGGCCCTAAACACAACATGCTCGTTATGATGCCCCCACGGTCTAAGCTTCCAACATGTCCACGTCTCCCCCTCGGCTCCAGTTACTCAGCTCAATAGGCTTTTATGTGTCATGCTAAGATGGCTTCTAGGAGACCTCTTAAATATTATCTATTTATTTTAAAGATTTTTATCTTAAGGCACATGTGTATGCCTTATGGGGTAAATAAAAGAGAAATGGGGTTAGAATAAAATAAAAGAGAAAACATCTTTTTTCCTCCAAGCGTGCAGAGAGCCTTCAGCCACACCTAAATACATGTGAAGACAGCAAGTAACAGTAATTAAATTATTATTTAACATAAAATGTAACTATTTTAAATTATAATAATTAAAATTTTAATAACTAAAAATATTCAAAGGGCAATATATGCTTATCAAATAATAATATATACCCTTGCCACCACCAAATTAAAGTCTGAAGATTTCTCATTGTGAATACTGAGCACAGTCTTCCAACTGTCAGCTCTTACGTGCCATTTTCCTTCAGTAAAACTATTCATGCCCTTCTCGACTATTACCCGATTTCACGCAGCTTCCCATGTTTCATGCTTAATGTCCTTTTCCAACTATCTGCTTGCCAAGAGTGAATATATGTATTTATGCTTCTTAATCATGAAGAGACCACTGCCTCTGTTATTAGCAGATAAGGTCACAGTACGGTGGCCTTCTAATAGTTATGGAGTAATGCCTAAAGAAAACATCCTAATATCTGGGTAATGTTCTATCTGTTTTTCATGAAAATCTAAGATCCTACCTTAGAGAAGCTGGGTCCAAGTCGTTCTAATGCAACAGTGGAATGTCAGATTTCTTAAATACATGTGTATGAAGGTGAGGCTAGGTCAAAAGAAGTCTTTTCACTAATAACAGATTTCCACATCCCCCAGGAAGAATTCCTGGGTTAGCAATTAATCCAAGTTTACTTGGTTTACCATGAACATTAGAAGAAGTTCATCCTTTCTTGCCAGAGGGCGAATTGTTTTCCCAAGTGAAAGGCTGGAATTGTTTCTTTGTATTTCATCATGAAAATGTCTTATCAAATCTTGGCATCTCTCCAGAGTAATTTTAAAAGAAGTGATTTGGGGATAAGAGACAGCCTCGCCCTAAACTGAAAATTATATTTTGAATTTCTTTAGAAATAGAGGCTATGACAAACTAAAAAACCTCTTTCTCAAAAGTCATTGGCTTATTTTGTTTGGTGAAAAATATTTATAATTATATTTAAAAGTGTGAACCAAAAAGCATTGGAGACAAATCTCAATCCATGTGAGGTTTATTGTGCCAAGGTTGAGGATGCACCTGGGAAAGAGGAACACAAAATGAGTGTCAGACATGGTGAACTCCAAGTTTCTCTTCAAAGAATCAGTATGGCAGTAGGTCCTCCATTTTAAAGTTTAACTTCCTTGTAGTTTCAGTAAACCACCTTTTCCACCAGTTCTCATCGGTAGTTCACATCTGTTTCCCTGGTTCCCTGCTCTGTCCTGACTCATCCCGGTCACCTGCTCCTGTCACCTGCTTTGACCTATGTCACCCCTGGGTACCTGCTCTGACCTGCCTGTGACCATTCTTCCTGCCAAACTATCCACCCCACCACTCTGGCTCACACCTCTGCTCTCTTTAAAATAGCCAATCAGAATTAGACTAGACTGTATGGTCTAACCCTAGCCCAGAGGGGAAGGACACAGCAGCAGGGACGACCTCCCTCAGGAACAAGGACCCCTTCCCGCCCTTGTCCAGGTGTGCACTCGCCATTGTTCCATCTGTGAGCCACACCCTCCTATAGAAGTAAATTTCCTTGCTGAGGAAATTTATATTCGAGTGCTCCTTTTTTTTTTTGTGGCACCAAAAATTTGCAGATAACAAAGGAGGATCTGAGATTTGTGCTATTTCTAGAGAGGGTTGGGAGCCTTCAATATTTAAAAGGGAAACAGTGGGCAGGAGAGAAGGAAAGAAGAAAAGGGAAGTGTAGATAAATGGAGTAAGCTTTCTTTTGAGGCTTTAATCAGCGTTCAGCTCACTGAATTCACACTTTAGAAAGGAGAGGGTAGAGAAACCGTCAACTGGGCATTCATCTCATGCCCTGTGAATCTGGATTTTTACGTGAGATAAGGTAAACAAAGTAGAGGAAGCAGTCAAATATGCATTTGTTTCCAGTGAGTGGAGGGATGACTCCCAGGCCTGTCTCTCCAGTACCTGTGAAGATAAGCTGTTAATTTACATTGTCAGCATGACATTCAGCAGAATGGTTTCAGGGTAAAAATCTTTGGGGCTGCAAGGAATTTCCTTGTGAGCAAATGTGAGGGAGGGCCAACGGGGAGGTATGTAACCCCCTGTCTTTGTAGCTATCCGTTTGGGAACAATATGGAATGCAGTTCTGCATGACTGAGGTCCCAAGTTTGACTTTTACTTTTGGCTTAGTAAGTTTGGCTCCCATGATTTTTATTTTCCTTCTACCACTTTCTACTACCTTCTCCTATTTTCACATAAGTGGTATTTGCCACTTACAGAGGTTACGTGTTTTTCAGAATTATTTGTCTCATGCATAGTACAGAAGAATATTGAATTCAATAGGACTAAAGGAGACATGAGAAACAGAAGAGAAAAAAGAAGAAAAGAATGAAGGAAAGGATGCAATGGGTGGGGAAGAAAAGAAAGAAGAAAAAAGTGAGAGGACAAGACAAGTTGTATATTTTCTAAAAATTTTTCACAAGAGTATATTAAGGTATTTAAACATTGGGAATACTGAACTTCCTAACACGTTTATTTTATTTCTCTAATGGGGAAAAGAAAGAAGGAGGTGGTCTTGTTTGGGAAGCAGAACAACTCTGGTAATAATAATCATTCATAGTAATGATAATAACAAATCATCCTTGAGTGCTTTTCATGCATTAAGTCAGTTAATGGGAACATTACTTACATGAGTTCTAGTCTTCACAAATTCATTAGACACATCTTATACCTTATGCCTCTATGTTACAGATAAACAGACAGACAGAAAACCCTACACCTTTTCAGCCTTTAGAATGTTATTCAATAACTAATTCTTCCTAAAGAATATTTTGTCATCCATAAATTAAAAAGTTCCCTAAATAGCTATTGGATTGATTAAATAGACTCTTCCCTCCAGAGTGATGTGTCTTCCTACAGAGCCATAAATGGGTTACAATCAATATTGATCCTTTCAACCCTGGATTGGTCTCTTAGTGCCTGATTTGGCTACAGCCACAAGGGAGTTGATTTTGCTGTTAACAGCCACATAGTTTTCCTTAATGCGCTGTATAACTATAATTTACTTTGATAGCTACGTCATGAAAGTATTTGAGAAGTGCTGCTATAACAATGAGGTTGGGCTTCTATTGTTATTATAAACCACTTTCCTGAGGAAAGCAACAGACCTGTGAACAAGGTATTGATTGGTATTAGTTTCTAATTCATATGTCACAATATTTTGTCTAATGTTGAATTTAGTTATCTTGTAAGAATAGAAAAGAGTCTAAATTATTTATATAAGATAGATATTTTGTGGCGTCTCAATCTTCCTTTTTATGTTTCTTATTCACCTTTTTCTTTTTTCTCTTCTCTTCCTTCCTGCCCTTTAACTCTTTTCTAGAAGTAATCCTTTTATATCAGTAGGTATAGACATGGTTGCTACAAACTAAGAGAGTAATTTCCAGTTTGGAGCTTAGATTCTCAGTGTTTGTTTAATTTCAAATAATTCTGTCTGCCCATTCTGTTACTCCATTCCAAAGTGCCATTTGACATTTAAGGTGAATCTGTATTTGGTAAAACCCTGCTAGTTATTCTAATAAGACCTAAATTAAATTTTTAAATGTTCAATCTATATTTCTAAAGATTTTAGCCCTCTGCTCCTGTCTCTGAAAAACAGAGACTGTATTAGCCCATTTTCATACTGCTATAATAAAATGCTCAAGACTGGGTAATTTATAAAGAAAAAGAGGTTAAATGGGTTCACAGTTCAAGATGGCTAGGGAGGCCTCACAGCCATGGTGGAGGACAAAGGAGGAGCAAAGGCACGTCTTACATGGTGGGAGGAAAGAGGCACGTGTAGGGGAACTGCCCTTCGTAAAACCGTCAGATCTCGCGAGACTTATTCACTATCATGAGAACAGCATGGAAAAATGCACCCCCATGATTCAATTACCTCCTGCCAGGCCCCTCCCACTGCACATGGGGATTATGGGAGCTACAATTCAAGATGATATGTGGGTGTGGACACAGCCAAACATATCAGAGGCACATTCCAATAAGTTCTTAACTGAAGATTCTGGCAAGAAAAAAAGTTATATGCTGAGGTTGCTAAGATCTACAGTAAGAATGAATCTTCTGTCTTTGAAATTGTGCAGAAGGAGAAGAAAATATTTGTGGTAATTTTGCTGCCACACCTCAGACTGCAAAACTGAGAGCCAAGGTGTGTGATAAGTGCCTAGGTAAAAGGAAAAGGCATTTATATTTATGGTAGAAGATGAGCAAATATGTGTTGTGACTGACAACAATCAGGTTCTAAACTATGGTTTCAGGTTTCCACAGGGAGTCTTAGAACATAGCCTGTGAGGATAAGATGGTGACCACTATATTTGAAATACAATCGAAATGATATTTGATGAGTTGATTATTTATAATAGTCAATGGACAGAGTGTCTAAAGGGGAAAAGTCAGAAGTCATGGACGTAGCTGAAGATGATCATGTCTTCTGTCATGACTGAACATAGCCAGAAACAGACTACTCCATGATTTTTAGTGGAATGCACACTTGGTCAAAAGCTGATGGGTGACTACTAAACCCACAACTTTATTCCTATCCCATTCCAAACTGTCCGTTGTTCAGAACCATCATACCTTTCAAAGAATGATAAAATCTTCAAAATCTGTCAGCTTTCCAAATCCCATAAATGCCCTACAGTTGCTGGGGTGACTTGTTTCCAGACAGAGAATGTTTAAATTCAAAGGCAATGATAAAGTCTTGTATCTTTCACTTCAAACCTCTAGCAGCATATGCAATTTCTTTAGAAAGTGGTCACCTTTCCTGAGGGCACACATCTGCCCACAACCTTCTGTAGGACACCTGTGACATCCTTGTTCCTGAAGCTGTAAATGAGTGGGTTGAGCATTGGAGTGACGATAGTGTAGAAGGCAGATACAGCTTTGTCCTGCTCAGGGGTGTGGTAAGAATGAGGCAGCACATATGTGTACATGGCAGCTCCATAGAAGAGGCTGACAACCACCATGTGTGAGGAGCAGGTGGCCACAGCCTTTCGCCTCCCCTCTGCCTCACTCATCCTATAAACAGTAATCAGAATTTTTGTGTAAGAGGCTGAGAAGACAGAGAAAGGGATGAGGAGCATCATGATGCAGCAGACATACATGGCTGTCTCGTAGGCTGATGTGTCCATGCAGGAGAGCTTCAGAAGGGCAGGGACCTCGCAGAAGAAATGGTTGATTTCCCGAGAAGCACAGAAGGGGAACTGCATGGTGACTGGGGTGAGCAAGAAGCCATCGATAGACCCTCCCAGCCAGGCTGCCACCACAATCAGCCAGCAGATCTTGCGGCTCATGAGGACGGGATAGCGCAGAGGGTTGCAGATGGCTATGTAGCGATCATAGGACATGAATCCTAGGAGGAAGAACTCAGCCCCTGCTAAGGTCAGGTAGAGGAAGTGTTGGGCAGTGCATCCTGCAAAGGAAATGGCTCTCTGGCTCATCACCTGGTCAACCAGCATTTTGGGCACAATGGTGGAAATGTACAGGATGTCCATGAGGGAGAGCTGGCTGAGCAGGAAGTACATGGGGGTGTGGAGGCGGGAGTCCATGTGGATGAGAACAATCATGACCATGTTGCTGGCTATGGAGGTCACAAAGACCAGGAGAATGAGGGCAAAGAGAAGCCAGGGGAAATGGGTGTTGCTGAACAAACCCAAGAGGATAAAGTCGCCATACCTGGAATAATTGCCCCACTCCATAGCTCTGTAGGGCACACAAAAGAGAGAGACAGATATGATACATAAAGTTGGAAAGGTATCTGATTTTTCTAAAACATTATGATGCAGCCATGAACAAACCAAGGTAAAGCCATCTTATTTCTTGAAGCTCAACTTAATTTCCTGAGAGAACTGCCTGAGCAGGATTGTACTACAACTCATTACATCATCATTGTTCATTCAAGGATATTCTTGACTTGCTGACTACTATTTGTTAACTTAGAGTTCGTGATGAAATAATTTTATGTCTTTTTGTTCATGAACGTTTATTCGTATCTCTCTTTCAAGTACAACCTTACATTGAGGAGGATGCACATAAGACAGATAAGAATGGAACCAGCTCGATTGAATAGGAATGGGGTGGTGCATGAGGAAAGGAGCCCTGTCCCCATCCTGTGCTGCTCTCTTTATACTAGGCTCTAGTTCTCATACTTAGAATCCAGTTTGAAAGTCACCAATCAAGCATACACATTTTGCTGATGGAAGAATAACTGCATCGGTTTGACCTAATTTATACCATTCTTGACACATTTGTACACTGTAAAATTTGAGTGCTCAATTTATATGTATTAGGGTTGAGTATTTGAAAATAATGAGCCTATGTTGAATAAAAAGAGCTCTGAGTTCTGAGAACTAATTCAAGAATTCATAGGAAGAAAGAAATCTAGGCAGAAATAATATTCAGGGTCAAGTCGTGTTTGCTTTTCTTATTGTAACAGAAATTATAAATATACAACTAATTAACAAGTGAAATGGGAGCATAATTTTTTAAGAAAGAATGAAAAGATAAACTATTTCAAATGTTAGAGATAGTGTATCCCAAAAAAGGAATTTTTCTCTTAAACTTGAAGTTACACTATGCATATATGTCCATGTCAGTTAAACAATGTTTTACCACATTTAGGAACATGTGTGGGTTATTTGGATGTTTTCTCTCTGCGTCATATAGATTTGCACTCTCCAGTATGGTAGCCATGAGTCTTATGAAGCTATGGGTCCCCTGAAACATGACATGACTGCTCCAAATTAAGATGTGCTGTCAGTATAAATTACACTGAGAATTCAGAAAAATTAAAAACATATACAATACACCTCCTTAAAACTTTTTATATTTATTATATGATAAAACCATAGCATTTCATATATGTTTGGATAATATAGATTAAAATTAGTTTCACCTATTATTTTTTTACATTTTTAATGTGGCTACTAGAAAGTTTAAAATTATCTCTGTGGCTCCCCTAGGATTTCTATTAGAAAGCACTGGTCTAGAATTATCCCTTTTCTAGAATATAACAGTTCCATATATCTTCCTGCAAACAAGTCCTCCAAAATTAAACACACTCCAAATTAGACAGAGCAAAAAAATTTAGGTGTACTACCAATTAGAAACAATAATGGCTTTACTTTTAAATGCATTCACCTGCAAGTAGTAGTAAGAATATATTAATAACAGTGTTTATTGGTTCATAAATATAATTCACATTTCTGAAAAACTTTGTAAAATATTAGACCACTGCTTTATCCGTTCTACAGGTAAAAAAAAAATGCGACTTAAAGAAATTTCCCCAGAGGAACCTGGTTCTTTTTAACCAGTGACAGTATTATAATTGTTCTATGCTGTTTTCCAATAGGATAAAATAGACATCAATTCATTCATTCCACAAACATTTCCTGAGAGGCACACTGGGTAAGCCAGAGTTTGAGGTTCTGAAAGGACCTGTAAGAATGTGTAGGACATCAACTGTGTCTCTAAGAGCTGAGAATTGAGGCACATTAAGAACGCGTGTAGTGTGTATGACCACAGGGGCACTTTCAGAATGGTTTTAAGACCTCTGCAGTGTTGACTTCTCCTCATTTGGTATGAGAGAAAAGAACAATGAGCCCGATGAAATCTGCAGCCCAGTGGCTGGTACACAGGAAATTCACACCAGGGCCCCTCTGTACATTTCACTACAACCATGCCATAATGGATGGATCAAAAACTATGAAAATTAAATTCTCGAATTTTTACTGGTGAAACCTACAATATACCCTTATGCATTTTTCAGTTTTCTCATTCTTGAAATATTACCAGCTTTATGCCAGAGCTTTGCACCAGCTGTTTTAAGATGTATCCTTGTTCTATTAGTCTTTTTAAAGAAATTAACTGTGTTAAACCATTGGGGAAACTACAGGCAAACATTTAGCAGCAATTCACATGATGGAGAGAGGTAAATGCTCGCCCAGCCCTGCTTGTCAATAATTTAATAAGCACAAGATCCTGGAAGGGCTGTGCTCATTAAATTCAGAGAATGGTGGTTAGCTACTGGAGGCCAACTGCAGAGACTGCTACTTGGAATATTAAAGCCCAAGAGGAAAAATGGGTCCAAAAATATCCTTACCGGGGAATCTGTGTCCCAAACCCTGACCATGAATCTTCCTGGCCCTAAAACTTGCTACTGGAGACCCTGGAACTCTCCCCAGCTTTCTTCACAAAGGGAGATCTGAGTCGCTTCATAACATCTCAGGTTTCCAGAGCATCTTCCTCTCACTCTCAGTGTTGACTCATTGCCTATATTTTTAAAATTACGTAGTAGTATAGCAACATTTAAGAATGCTTGGAAAACAAGAAAAAAGAAAGGAATCAAGTGGATTACTCCATGCCCCCATGTAATAACTATTTTTATGTCTATGCATAATTTCAAACTTCAGTATGCTTCCAATTTTATATATACTTAATAATATTTAACACGTTTCACACGTGGTCTTTATACAGAATATTGCTATGACTGAATGATGCGACACACACTTTACTTAGTTGGTTTATATTCACATTGTTTCTAAGTTTGCTCATACTATACACTGTTCTGAGGTTAATTCTCTGGAATAGTCCGTGGGAAATGGTTTACTCTGCTTTAGAAGCCTATCGCCAAACCATTAGATGCTTAACAATAATGCAGCACATGTAGGGCAGCACCATGCTTGCCCCAGGGCTCAGCACTAGTAGCTAAACTTGCATTAATACGGATTTCTTTGGTTACTAAGAAAATTGAACATATTATTATGTGTAATTTTGTCTTTCTGTTACTTATTTCGATTTTTCATGACCTTTGCCTTTTTCTATATAGGGGATTTGTCAAAATTAGTGTCTTCTTTCTATAGAATAAGGACATTTTAATTTAATTTTTAAAATATTTAATATTTAATATTTACTAATATTTTTATGTACTATTTATTGCAGCTATTTTGCCCCGAAAATTACTTGTAATTATAACTTTATTTGATATTTAGGCCAAAAAGTTTTAATTTATCTGTCTCTATGTTGAGTTTATTTTTGAAAAATAATTTTTCATCCAGGTATGTGATTCATATACAATTTACTTTAATTAAGTTACTATATTTTTAAAAATGTGTAATATTATGCATTTAAATCTTTGGTCTAGACATTGAAAATTAGGCAAATATTGGTTCTTTATAAGGCCAAGCCTATGATAAATTTGTGCTTTAAGATCATGACAGTAAGTTCTATCTAATTGTAGTTCTTCAAATAAGCAAGAGTTTGAGTACGAATGATGAGTCAGAATGACCCCACTGATGTTCCACCACTTCTTGTTGATGCAGACACCCTTTATCATGCGTAAAATCAGTTTTCACCCATGTTTCATGTATAAATTCCAGTGTAAAAAATGGGTACTAAAAATAAGTGAGTGCTAGGTTAGCCTTAAGTAAAATTGTAATAGCAGTGACAATCGACTTTTGAAATCTCACCCGTGGCTGTCCATATGTTTTTCTCTTCAAAAATAGCAGATCCAAAAGCAGGTAGCCAGTTTTCTTCTACTTTTTCGTTTTTGATGTTGTCATTCTTCTGTCAGACTCTGCTCTGCATCAAATTTGGCACAATTCTTGGTGACCATCTAACTCAGACAATGTTTGAGAGTGCTAAAGGCTAAGCTAGACAGGAGATGAGGACAACAGGCATAAAAAAGGAATATCTTAAGAAAACAGGGCTAAATGGTGACCCTGAGTATAAGACATTTAATTCTCTGTGTAATCAAATTATGTTTCTTCCTCAGCAGTATTTTCACATGAATTCTCACTTCTAATTGTGGAAGAAAAGACATTTTCTAAAGTAAAATCACTTGAGGAATCTTTAGAATGGTAGAGAAGTTTTGATTAAAGCAAAAGGATTGTCTTGAAGCAGACCAAGGGCATAATCAATAATCACCTTCTCAGTCTCAAGAGAAATTGACCTGAGTTCTTCCCCTGTCTCTTCCTACCCTTGAAACTTCTTTATTTTTGGCATTTGTTATGTAGTATTGTAAACATTAAACAAGATTTTTAATCAAAGAGCTGGTTTTATATTCTATCTTCATCAATGATAAGCTTCTAGATATCTGGCAAGTCACTCCCATATTCCGTTCTGTCAGCCTCTGGGAATTTCTAAGCATTAAATAAGAAAGTATGGTGAAATGGTTTCTTGGAGCAGGCTATGGAGGATTTTCCTCACTAAACCATCTTTAGAGATATGTATGAAGCATCTAAGAAGGTGGAATACTACAAAAAAATAGATAAACTCTTCTCTTTATAAATATTTTTAAATTGTATAAGGGAATATACTGTTGCAATAGTGAAAAACTATTGTATAGGAATAATTACACAGACACAAATCTGTATAGAATTTTCCTGAGTAATCTGCTACATTCTGATGTACACAAAAGATAACTGAGTCCTTCATAACAACTGAAGGAAGAAATGGGATCAAAAGATGTAAAATGTATATGAGTAGCACTATCCACAAATATCGATAGCTTAAACACTGAGACATATCAACTTCAACATTCTCTAATATTTCTCTGGCTTGAACCAACTTTCCAGTAAATCCAGAATCTATTTAAAGCATCCTGTGATTGATCAGCATAAAGACTGCAAAGTTACTTAATTTACACAATATCTTCCCCAAACATGATTACCTATT